CTTTAGGAGGCTTTCAGAGTGTTCCTGGGGGCTGGGGAAGGCACAAATGAGTGAAAAACAGGCTGTTTCTTGCTTCATTTTGCCCGCCCCCCTCCACCAGCCCCCAGGAGCACTCCGAAACCCTCCTAAAGGCTATTCATGCCCTTTTTGGGGGGGGGAACCCAGGCCTGTTTTTGTGAAAAACGGGCCGTTTTTGGGAGATCTGCAGAGTGCAAAAACTTTTTTTTTTAATTTGCCTCTTCAAAATCTTGGTGCGTCTTATACTCCGGTGCATGTTATACTTGGAAAAATATGGTAAATCCTGGGTATTTGAGCTCTACTCCTGCACCCTGTAAAAGGAGTTTTCTTCCCCGAACAGAAGGAGCTGACATCCATTGGCAGGCAGCTCTTTCAGCAGTTCCGAGAGATTCAGGGTGAGCCAGACTCCAAGAAGGATTTTCAGCGCTTTAGCAGAGAGGCAGTGCAGTAGGGTAAGGAGTGCAGGGGTCACTCAGGAGGATGTTGTTCTGACTCGGGCTTCCTTAGAAAGCAAGAAGCAACACCTTGTTCCCAGCAAAACCTCTTTTATTTACACGACTGTGAACTCCTTTCATTCACAGTCAGCAAGGCTTTAGCGAACAGTCTTTCAGAGGAATGTTTATTCACACGCACCTTATATCGTTTAGAGTGCTGCAAGATAAGTAACACAGGGCAAAGCAAAACTTGGCACAGAGTCTCTTATAATCACAAACAGAGCTTTCCAGACCGAATGAATGAATTGTTTCCTACAAAAGCCCACTCCCCATTTTTTCTTCTTTTGTTTCCTATGGGAGGGGGCCAATCATCTCCAAGGTGTGGCTTTACTCTTAAGTAGACCCTGCTTTTTTAGTTGTTCTTGTTTTCTGACGGCTCTGCGCATGCGCGCACTGGGAACAGGCTCCAGCTGTTCTTCTGCCTCACTGCTGTCTGACTCCCTCTCTGCCTCCAATGCAGAGCGTTCATCTGAGCTTTCCACAACCTCCAGGCCTCACCCATGTTCCTCACCCAACCTCCTCACTGTCCGACTCTATCCAGTGGGCCACAACAGATGTTGGAAGCCTGGGAGGCCCAACTCAAGTTGCATATTCATGTTGGGATGTTCTCCAGCTGACAAGAAGCTCAGTATCTTTAACCATTGTGCCCCTATTTTAAAATAGGAGTATTAATATACCATAAAAAGATAGCTAGATATTCAAAGTTACTGGGGTTTGGGTATTTTTTTGAGGAATACAGATTTGAAGACAGAACAACCATTATAACATGCTGGCTCAGTTTGTGTAATATGGTACCATTGGGCATTACCGAATTATTACCGGAATGAAGGCAAATGTACGTGTCCCAGGATAATGTTGCATAATGCAGTCTGGGTCAGTCATGAGTCCGAAAGCTTGAAGACTCAACCTCTGGTCCTGGTGACTGACCCCGATTAAATTCCGAATTATTACATTTTCTTGGTTTACACAATACACCCAGACAGACATAAATTAACCAAACAGGCTGGAATTATGCCCCAAAATATGATGCCATAAAAAGTAAGACAAGGTTGAAATTAATCAAATTTAGTACTTGGTGCAAATTCACAGAACATGAGAGTTTTAATTGATCTGATTAAATATGTGAGCCAGCCGGTGCCTTAACTGCAATAGATACCTTGCACCAAGAACACCCTATAATATTATTAAGCCAAAATAGAAAAAAAAAACACATTTGCCTGGTGTGTGTGTGTGTGTGTGTGTGTGTGTGTGTGTGTGTAGAATTGCTTCTCAATTTTAGAGGGCAGTGGGCATGTGGAAACTTGATAAAAGTGTTGCTGTGCCTTAGAAAATGCTTTGCAATGGATGGGTGGTAAAGTCAACACTGAGTGATATAACAGATCAGTTGGCAGGATATGAATACCTATCCATTGAATTTGATTATTTACTTAAAATGCAGAGGGCTTTTTGATTCTCTCTCTCTCCCCCCCTCCCTCCCTGCAGTTGTTTCTCATGAGGCAAGGGCTACCTGTACTTTTTGCTCTTGCAAAAATCCAATTGCTGTTAATGGATTCATAAGCACTTTTTACCTAGGAGCAAAGAAGGTAGAAGTGCTTGTTGCTTATAGCAATCCAATATTTGGCTACAGCATCCAGGAATCATTAAAAAAAAAAAACAATCTTAAAACTTTTTAGAGAGGTTGTTCTTGTCTAGTTCCAAGATGCAGCTGTTGACTTACAACAGCTCTCTTAGTGACCGCTTGAAGTTACAACAGTGCTGAAAAAACTTATGACCATTTCTCACACTTATGATCGTTGCAGCTTCCCTATGGTCCTGCAATAAGACATTTGGTTGCTTGACAACTGACTCATATTTATGACGATTGCAGTGTCTCGGGGGGTCAGGTCATCACTTTTTGTGACAAGCAAAGTCAATGAGGAAGCCGGATTCACTTAACAACCATGTCACTAATTTAACAACTGCGGTGATTCACTTAGCAAAGGTGTCAAGAAAAGTTATAAAATGGGGCAAAACTCGCTTCACAAAGTTCTCATTTAGCAGCATAAATTTTGGGCTCAACTGTGGTCATAATTTGAGGACTACCTGTAAAGTTGCCTGATGCTGAATTGGTTCATTTTGTGGTATTCTAACTGGCAAGGATTCCTTAAGTCATAGAGGTCTTTCCTATTCGGAGACAGTTAAGATAGAGAATGCTGGATATTGGGTCTTGATTCTTTTGCTTGCAAAGCATAAGTTGATGTGCATCCAGTGGTGGGTTGTAGGCGGTATGCCCCGGTACAGTTGTACCAGAGCCTGCCCGGAACAACGGGTACCGTTCTGGTATAATGCTCCAGAGAGCCCACCCGCCCGCTTGCGCTCCTTACCTGTCTTTAAAGTCCTCGGTGCTTCCACGCATGGCCCGTACAGCACCTGCGTGATGCTCCACCATGCAGCTGGAGGATCGCAGAGGCGTCACTGGACTGTAAGATGCACATGCACGCGGCGCGTGTCCATGTGAACGCCGCTGGGCCCTTTCCAACTGTACCAGTTGGAATGGAATCCAGAACCCATTACTGTGTGCATCCCTGCATTTAAGTATTTCTTCTTTTCCGTGTATTGAGTTACTTGTAAATGGACTTTACAATGAATACTCTTATACAGAAACAAACTCTTAACTGTGAAGCAGATGGCACTACATATTTTCAAAAGCAGACTTGCCTGCAAACCCCCATTCAGCAGAGCAGATAATTAAACTGGGATAAATGACCACAGAATAATAAAACACCTAGGTCTTTTCTCCAAGATTTCTTAGTATTATTGGGGCTTTTATTTAGAGCTTGTATTTAGAATTTCCTGATGCTGCAAGGAACCGTAAGAACATTGCTTTGCTAACTATAATAAATCAGAAACAAACAAACAAACAAAAACAAGTTAATGTGCTATGACTTCAAAACTGCTGATAGAATTCCTAGATTCCTTATCAAAGTACAGAGTGTCCGATCAGGAAAAAATTATTTTAATAGATTCTTGCATCACTGCACCACAGTTGGTTGACAGATTAAGAATTTAAAAGATGAGAAAAGGGGCACATTTGAATAGAAATTATAGAAAGAGAGAAGTTAAAATATGACTCTCCCTTCCA